GAGCGCATGCTCCGTGGCCGCAGGAAGCCGGCGCCCCACCGGGGCCCCAGCGCCGCGCGCCATCATACCAATCCCTGAAAAACAGAACTAGCACGCAGCAAAACGCGAGCTGCTCTGCCTCTTCCCACCGCAGGCATCTCCTCGCAAGGCGAGCGGCTGAGGAAGCAAAGGAAGTCACTGCAGACCACACGCATGAGTACAGAAGAACCACGGCAGGCTTGCCCCACGTGGGAGCAGAGCAGCAACCTGCAGGGACGGCCGCTGCCTGCTAGCTGTGCCTGCAGCCAGCCCAGGGCAGGGCACGGTCACTGCTCGCCGTCCCCGGGGGCTCCGCGGCATCCAGTTCTGACCCCAAGGGATCTCTCAGCAGCAGCAGTAGATGATGCTGAGGTTTTACAGCCCCCAGCTCAACCGGAGCCTGACCTCGTAAACGCTCCACACGTCGCCGCAAGAGTAGGGGGCCGGGAAGAGCCTCAGGACATGCTTTGCTAGAACACGGGCTCACGCCAACAGACAGCTCTGCTGCCGTGGGTGACAGGAGGGCAGGCAGCCCCAGGGAGGGAGCCCTGTGACAGAGGCTGCCCGGCCCATCACCGAGTCAGGCGGGAATGCAGGACCGGCTGGGAGCCCGAAGCGGTCAGGAAGCAGCCAAAAGCCTCCTCGCCCTCCTGAAGGGCTGAGAGGAGACATTGCCTCCTTTGGTGCAGGACCGAGCTCCGGCTCCTTTCAGCATCAACAGAAAGCAGCCAGGCAGCCTGAAGCACCAACCATCCCAGAGGGAAAGGGTCCCTGTGATGCTCCTTACTGTCAAAACCACCAGCATTAGGGAAGCTCTGACCTTGTCAGCCCCTAAACCCCCCGCAGGAGCCTCTCCCCAACCAGCCCTGCCGACGGGAAGCCTCCCTTGACATGGTTTAAAGATCTGAGGGTTGAACCTTTCCGATTCCGCTGGGCTTGCCCGTCTCTGCGGTTAGCCTCTCCTCCCATCTCTGGAACGGAGCCAGGGAGCAACCGATGCG